GCCGGGGGCAGCCGCGCAGGACCTTGAGGAGAAGGACCAGGTCCGCGCTGGAGTCACTGAGCTGGGAACTTTCGCGGCCTAGCGACAGCGGCGTGGGATGGCAAGGTGGGAACCAACCATGTGCATGCCTGAACACAAAGCATGCCATTGCAAGTCCCACATGAATGTAGCCCTGCCTGCTGTGACCACGGTGTTGCCAATGAGGGTGGGAGCTTGCTTACAGGACTAGTTCCTTCCAAAATGAAAACGTTGAGTTGGGTTGGCGAATATAATTGGAGGTCAATCTCAAAAGAAGTTGGACTTGTTAAAGGGTCGGGAAGAGTGGAATCGAATGCAGGACAGCTTTGCCTTTTCACATTTGTAGTCCTAACCCTGAGACTTAAACCACATATTCGGTTTATAGTGGCAGTGGAAGTAGTTCCATTCATAGAACTGACCTTTGAGTATGCTAGTCACAAAGATAAGATGTGTTACCATTTCAACTTGGGGAATTGTGTGTTTTCTATAAGTTCTATTATCTAATCAAAACATGATGTGTTCAAAGTTAGATACGTACATGTTTAAAACAAACACCTGAACACGAACCCGAATGCAGATCAGCACCCCTAAAACCCAGCACCCCCGCCATTAATTTGCCACGTGGAGGTTGCTCCCAAGTTGTGGGCGAAGGTGCATAAATTGAACTGTGGTGGTGTGTGCCTGCAGTGGGACTAAAAACCGAAACCCAGTAAAACTTAGCCCGGAAACTCACCCCCAAACATCCGTCAGCCCTGAAGCTAACGTAGTCGTCACCATCGATGCCTGCACCCACCTGGGAGCCCCATCTATTTGATGTTCTGGGGCATCAAGTGTTTAAAGTCTGCGGCTTGAGGGTGCAATGTGCCCATACTCATGTCCACAAGAACCTGCTGAGATATCAGAAGCCTGCCCGTATAAACCTGGAGCCGAAGATTTGGCTTACGCGGCATGGCTGTCGAACCCGAAATCCCTGAAGTCTTTTGACCGCCTAACAAGTTATGCAACTTCTGAGACTCCATGCCAAAATCATCGAGCTCCTCCTCGTCCTCCTCTCGGAGGGTGCCTGCGTGGACGCGATTTATGTGAGGACGGGGGAGTGTCAGAACTTATCAAAAACTCCCAAGCCCATTTACCTGGGTCTTCGGCAGCAGGGGCTGCTGACTTGTAGCTTGGTCTTGACAGGGCTGAGAAAAGACGGCAAAAAGGAGCTCATGATCAGCGATTGACTCAGTCGACTGATTAAGCCGCAAGCCAGCCATGAGCCTCCTCTCACGCAGCCCTAGACCGAGGTCTTGCTTCCATTCAAGTCAACCAATTGGTTCATGTATGTTCATGTGGCGCCGGTATCTCGACATGGCTGCAGCTGCATCTAGCATAAGCCCAACAATCCCAAATCCGAAAATTACAGGACTTCCAAACCTGAGGGCCTGAGTGCCGACGGATATCTGCGAAGCTGAAGGGGCGTAGGATGCGTGCTGCCCCTTTGGACAGGATCGAGGCGCAGGGTGCTCGGGGCTTCACAGATTTTCGGAATCGAATGCTTCAAGCTTTCAAGCAGGAGACAAGGTTTAGGGCTTAAAGCTTTTGGTTTTAGATTCCGCGTCGAGAGTTTGCGTGCTGGGTAGTGTCGGTTTGCCTGGGCTTCGATGGTGGGGAAACTTGTGCACAAAAAGCTCTCTTCAGCCAAACGGTCCGAGCTGCATACAGGCACCTTGCAAGTGCCCACTCGTCCCAGTGAGTGCGAAACTGCAGAATGTGATTTAGGGTTTAGGGTTTAGGTGTTCTTTGCCAGTCTGATCCTTTCACAACGCTGAAATTTTCACGAACCACATCCCTGAGCCTAATTTCGCCTTTTGCAGGTGGCATCGCAAATGCCATCGACTCAAATACTAAAATCTTAACAGGCCCGGCATTCAAGAAAGTTCATTTGCACTCAAGGACCCATTCACTAAACCTGTCATTGGTACCTAAGCCCAAGAATCTTGACCGCCCGGGAACGCCCCAAAACCACATCCCAAACCTCGCTGAAAATTCGGTCCACTACACAGTTACACAGCAGACCCGAAACCTCAAACGCCCTCAACAGCAAAGCCACCAAAGCTCTGAGCCCACAACCCCCCCCCCCCCCCCTGCAACCTGTCCCCGGGGGGATCCTTCGCACTCCGGATCGGAGAGCAGGTCGTCAAGCGCTTCCATGACCTTTGCTTCCGGGCCCTTGCCGTCTAGGCTTCAGATGTATTAAGGGATGTTGAAGGTTCAGGGTTTGGGGGCAGACGACAAAGCCCCGAAGCCTAGGCTCAATTCAAAGCCGCTGGGGCCCTTAAAGCCTCGATATCCGATGAGCCTAAATCCAGCACTCTGAGCCGCCCTCAACCAACCCAACAACCCTTCAACTGCTCAAGCATGCTCAAGCATGCTCAAGCATAAACAGCACTCGAAGTGGCGATGTAGGGTCTCGCGCTTGAGGGCTTCAAACCGAGGATCCGACCAGCACTTCTGGGCACCCGAGCCATGGAGATGGAACGGCGATTTCTTGACGCGTCTTTGTCAGTTGCTTCCAGCTGTGGGTTGACCTACTGGTTAAGGTTGGAGGTTCGGAGTTTCTTGAGCTATCTCACTGGGCAGTTGATCTAAGCATGCATGTCTGGGCCCATGGATCATGGCCTAGAGCTTAGAGCTTTGAGGCAGGAGCAGGCACCTGTCAAAGCTCTGCTGCGGGGCGAGGGATAGGTCCTGCTCCAGGTGTAGAAATTCAAGGTTTAGGATTCGAGCGCTTGGGTTCTTGTCTGACTGAGTGCTCTAGGGTTCTAGGATGCTGCAGGATGCTCTAAGATGTTCGAGGGCTTGGCGGGCCACCCTTGAAAGAAAACCTGGGGTTGGAGAGTGCGGCATCTCTCGAAGTTCCGAAGATGAGGCATGAGGATGTGAAAAAGGCATCCTGGCGATATCAGCCTCTAATGGGAACTCGGAGCTTCATGCTAAGGATGGAGTTTAGCAAGTCCCAACAGTGCTCACGTCCCAACAGTGCTCACCATGTTTTCGTCGACTGCTGGTGGCGCCGCGGCCGTTTTTGTTCAGGCACTGCTGAAGTGCCTGCAAGGTCTTGTTGCTTGCCTAAGGCTGGTGCGTGATGAGGGCTGGGCCCTGGGGAAAGCATCCCCAAACCCTACAAGCCTTGAGCTCCTGCGTTTAGGGCTGGGGGTGGAGTTGGAGTTCCCAAAGCCTACAAAGAGATAAAACACCATGAAGACAAAGAGCCTCCGAAAAAGCTTTAGAGAATTCCGGTCAGCCCAGAGTCCGAAACCCCTTGGGTTTAAGGTCTACTCTGAAGCTGCGATGTTCGGGGAGCCTATCAGTAACCCGACGCTCCATCTAGTGAATATGTACGGGATGGCCTGCACTGCAACCCCTACTTTGGATAAGGGGTGTTGAGGCTGGTGCCATGCAAGAGCAAGCTGCTGCTTCCCTGACAGCAGATTTAGGGTTTGGGATCCGCTTTCTGACGGCTTTGCACAGCTCTCGTCAGCTCTCAGAGCTAGACTGGAGCTTTGGCCATCGGGTACCTGGAGCCTTGCTGACCCTTCGCACATGCCGCAAATGACCCCCGTTGCAGAATTTGGGAGCAGTTGTGGGTTCTGCTAAAGGGCCTGGGCCAAATCAGATTGGCCTGTTAAAAACCGTACACAGAATCTCTGATTCCCAACAGTCCTAGAAGAAAATCTAGATACCTGAGTTACAACCCGTCTTAGAGGAAATATGTTCCCATTTGCTTTGTCCCAACTGAACATGCGCCCTGAAATCAGTATGTTTAAGTTCTTCAAAAACAGAGAAATTTCGTGCTAAAAGACAATAATTACTGGAAACAACAATAAAGAAGTAAAGGTTCTTCTGAACTGCAGTCCCCTTAGTTTGCTTTGGTCTGCACCTTTTGAAGCATTTTCGCTTGTCTGGTTTCCCCGCAGGTACTGTGGAATTGCAGCTGCGAATGTCGACCCACTCCTTCTTTACATACAAGCAAAGCGGGGCCGCGCGCGCACCCACAGACACACGCTCTCGCTCTGGCTCTCGCTCTCGCACTCGCTCTCGCATTCTGCTACACAGCCGCTACTTGTTTGTCGCTACATGGAATCGCTTCCCACCTTCAGTGTCGGCTGTCACATGTTAAAACTCAACTGTTTGTTTCTGCCCCCGCCCCCTGGGGTGCCAACCGAAACCCCCGGAATGCACTCAGCGATTCTGTGGGAGCAAGTTTTTGTTTGCTTCTTTACACTTTCAGCTTTTGAGTGATTGTTTCTTGCTTTGTTATACGTTGCGAGAAGTGAACTTGAAGGGCTTTCTGGGGTGTTCTGGTCAAGCTTTTGCCATTTGCTTTTGGCACGGCGCGGTTCCTATTTGTGTTGCTTTTGTCTTGCCTCTCTCACGGAAGGACGGCCACTGGGCATTATCGCCTTCGTGCTTCCCTATTTGACCAAAGCAAACCTAAAGATCCTTGCCTCCCCCAAACCTTGAAGTGAATTGTTGAGCTTGAATGAACCTGAACTCCATCAGTGCAGGATGGCCACAAGGCTCCTGAGGTATTCAAAGCACGAGTGGACCAACCAGCTGTGCACAGCAGAGTTACAGGTCTCATTCGGCAGTGCAGTAACCGGTTTAAAGCCGACTGACACAGAGGCACGCGGCTGGAATGCACGTCATTTCTAGCGGCTTTACGTCGGCTTGTGGTTTCCCACAACTACTGTCCGCACTGCGTAAGCAACGGGCACGATAAAGGGGAACTTTCAGAACAACCTACGAAACAATTGGCGCGAAAACCTGGCCCATGTAATTCCTTAATAGCCTGCTCTTCAAGTCCCTTGGAAGTACAGCCATCGGTCTAACTTTCAGGCGAGAGGCAAGAGTCTAGGATGTGCCTAGAACGAGTCAGTACATGTTATCACCTTCGCTTCTCACACGCCGCCTCTTGCTGTAATCGTGGAGCTGCCTCACAGTTCGCCCTTCTCGGACGTCTCGGCCTTCAGCTTCTTCAGCTGCTCGGACAACGCCTGCTGGCCCCGCAAACCTTACAATGCCCTACAACTCCATAACTCTTCAACCCGAAGTCCCTCGGCCGACATGGCAAGGTGCTTTTCACGACAACAGGCTCAACTCAGCAGCACCCCATGCACGACGCCTACACCTTCGAGAGCGAAATCGAGGAGTGCCTAAGCCCTATATTTAGTGCATGAGGCAGCAATCGGGCTCAAGATCCTGTTGCCTCAGCCTTGAAGGCTTTCCGTTGCCCCGCCGCCCCCTTGCCCCTTCAGCCGGCAATTCACGTGTCTTAGAGCTTAGGGCTTAGGGCTAGGGGTGTTCTGCCGTTTGAAGGTTTGAGAGTCTGGGGGTGATGTGGCGTTGGGTTCTTTTGAATTGCTGAAGGTTCTCAGGTTTTTCGGGAAGTGTAAAATCTCAGCTGCATGGTTGAACGGCTGCAGCTGCCCGGGCCTGTTCACGCTGCTTCAGCACGTGTGCAGCGTCGAAGTCCTGCAGGCAGTCGCGCGCGAGGTAAAAGCTGATGCAACTGTAAGAGTGGCTGAAAGCTTTACGTGCTGACCCCTGATGTAGCTCAGAACCAATTGTCATATGCCCTTAGGCATCTGGCACAAACCGTATGTCCAAGACGTGACCAGAATTACACAAGGGATGCGACTCCTCCGTGACTGCCCCCCAGCCCAAGCTTGAGGCTCGCCCCCAAACCTCAACGTTCTCCTAAAAAACTCAGACTCAAGCCTGAATCCAAACTCACGAAGGCTGATCTCTACAATACTCTTAGTCGGTGCCTCTTTCTCCACGGCCTCCATCTTCTTCACCGAAATTGCAGCCAACCTGTTCGGGGTGCAGAGGGATCTCTTCCAAAGCCAAAAGACACTGAAAGTTTCGACCCTAATGATGAGCCCCCGTGTGAGGGGAGCTTGCAACCCTTCGAGGCACTAAGCTGGACACAGTGGTGCCATGTGGTGCCCCTTTTGATGTGAGGGTTTTGGCAGTTGTTTCGGTTGTTTCGCTGAACAGCACCAATCGCCAGGGCCTTGAAAGCAGTTCCGGGGCCAAGAAGGACTCTAATAGCAGATTCCCTTGGATTGTTGAAGGGTTTCAGCTTGGATGTCCCCAGCACGCGTCGAGGTCATCATCGTTCGGGCATGACTCCGTGCAATGGATGCGCTAGTACTTGAGTCGCACAGACACTATATATCTTTCGGCACTCACTTGCGAGTAGCACGGAGAGATCTTATTTCGTAATGGACAAGAACCACGGATTTGCCAAGGCCGTGACTCCTTTTCCACCGAGTCGATGTCGGTGGGCAGGGGCTCCTCGAAGCATGCAGCGTTGCAAATCTCCGGAATTCCCTCCCGAACCTCGCTAACCCAAGCCCAAACCCCACATCCCCAACGCCAGCAGATAGTAAAAACCCTGCAACTGCGAATGCCCAAACGCCACCATTTGCATGACTCGGACATGGACGTTGGAAGCTGAACCCCCCAATCCATCAGTTGAACCTTGAACCTGGAAACCCCGCAACCCCACGATGCAACCGCTGCCCATGCCTCAGGGGCTGCTTTGTCGCCCTTATCCTTGGTGGCGTTCTTCTCCGCCTGCCCGGGTCTTTTGGGCGAAGGGGTCTTGTGGGTTCAACAAGCGCTGAACAAGTAGTCAAGTATGCACACAAACTGCTTTGGAGGTTGTAGGTTATGGTTTCCGGATTCGGTTCTTGACTTTTTGTGAGTTTGGAGTCGTGCTAGACTTTTGATTTGACCAAAAAAACCCAGTGCCTCAAGAAACTTGAAAGAATGACGTCTTTGAGAACTTGAACGGCGCCTTGGGCTTCGTCTCCTTTGGCTTCTTGATCTTCTTCAGCTTCTCCCACTCCTGCAACCGGAGACTTGCGGGTTCCGGTCACAGGGCCTTCTCATGGGAGGGTTCAAGATGGCTTCTACTGGCTGGAAACTTGGAAACCGAGTCGGGCGATGAACCAGGGCTCCAAGGAGAGGGTTTTCAGATGCGCTGGCAATGCTCTACTTAAAGGCTACGAATCCAAAAGAACAATGCGCTCCAAAAGTCCTAAGCTTCATGAAGCCAAATGCTCAACTCAAGCCTTGCCACCCAGAAGGAAAAGGGGCTTTGGGTTCAGCTGTTTGGGGCCTAGGGCGAGCTCTGAGATCCCAGCTGAGCTTCTTAACGTAAACCTGCCCAAGCGGCTTAAACCTTGAAAGCGCTTGTGTAACTCCGGGTCAGGTCTCCGGAAAGCGCTTTAAAAATGCTTTGACCAGCAAGTCAGATTCTGAGCCCCGAAGAGTTTTCCATACGCTGCAATAGAATTGTAATGAAGAACCAGGAAAAACATTTCGAACAAAACCCCGACCTTCTTCACCTTGGAAATGGAACTGACAACCTGGCCGAATGGATTGCATTCAGGGCGTCTAGAGGGTGTGGCGGTGAGGGTCGGGGGAAGAGGGGCGGGGGGTGTGACAGGCTTGGCTGGGTCATTTCTTGGGCTTCAAGGTAGGGTTCATGCCAGTTTCGGTTGGAGGCCCAGGACTCAACCGGCCGTCAACGGGTTTGGGCATTGGGGTCCGAGTTCTGTCTTTGAACGGTTGTTGTCTTCGACCATCAAAAATGAAGGCTTTGTTGAGACTTGCTTCCAACATGCTAAAAGGTTATTTTTCTAACAGGCCTAAACGGGGCTGTCGCCCGTGGGGGTGCACATATCGCTCGGCGCCTGGACAGGTTTCGCATACACCTGCTGAACCCATGGACCCATGGAAATGAACCAGGTAGCTGCTGGCATGGCCGGAACCCTCCACGGTGTTTGGGGTCTTGGGCCTACTTACTTTGCAAGGTTCTACTAGGGTTTGGGACCTTTGGGCTTATGAGTCTTTTGGGTCCTGGTGATTTGCGGCTTTTTGGTTCTAGGAAGCATGCCGTAGTATGCGCGCCTCCTGCTTTGTGTAGGCGGGCGCCTCGTGAAGGGGAAGCCTCGATCCGCGTTTATTCGGTCAGTGGTTCTGGAAGCTGTGACAGGCACATTCTCCAGCGTTTAGGCTTGTCGGCGTGAGCCGTAATAACCAATCCCAACACAAGCGCAGTGTCGTATTCTTGCATGGGTCGGGTTATTGCCTCGTTTTCGAGTTGTGGCCGAGATGGGCTGTGGGCGAGGAAGGTCTTTGATCGCCGGCTAGCCTGCAGCCCTTAACACCATCCACTGAACTCCAATCTCTTCAAACGCTGTGAGCACTGCCCCTTCTGCTGCTCCTGCTTCTTCGCCCACCACCTGAGTTTGAGGGCACGAAGGCAGCTCAGCATGATGGGGATTTAGCAATTACGGCCTGCGAGGGCTCAAGGAGTGGCTTCGCGAATCCGAAAGCCCTCAGAAACTGCGCTTTTCGAGGCTTAGGCTTGAAGGCAGCATGGACATGGGGTTCCAGTCGAAAGTCTTGATTTGCACCAGCTTCGGGATTAGGGTGTAGGATTGGTTTACCAAGATGTCGACTAGTGCATAAACAATACATGTAGATTTCAATGGTATTTTAATGACGATCACACAGTCGACACCAATTTGAAACTAGTCATGCTAGCAATTCTTGCAGATACATACAACGACATCCTACCCCGCAGCTCAGATGGATAGACCCTCAAGAGTCCAAACTTGTCACCATGAAATCTGCAGTCCCAAGCCAGATAAACGAAAAAACCTTGCCAAGCTTCGTCTCCTACAATGCTCAGCACGTACCCAGTTCCCTCAATGTTCTCAATCCCAGTACATTTGGATGAACACACGACATGGCGAAAACATCCAACTTGCAACTAACCAAATTGCGCCTACACTAGATGCCGAACATTGAGTTTGTATGCATGGGGTGTGCACTTGTGTGCCGTGGGTGTTTCGTCACAGAGTTTTCGGCAAAGCTTCCCAGAATAGCCATTCCATCGCACGGATACTCTCCACCCTGTGCACAATGCTGGATTTTGGCATTCGTTCGGGCGCGTGGTCTTTTTGGGCCACACATGAATGTGCTCGTTTTGTCGAGCAAAACTCTTAGGGGGGCCTTCCAAATCGGGGCCCCCAGCGTCTCGAACTCAGCCAACTTCTCGGCCGCGGCCTCGGTTTTGTTGGCGCTCACCTGAAGGGGCTGACAAAGGGATGGGGGGGATGGCTTATCTTGGAGTAGGAGTGAAGACATGGGCAACTGTCCCGGGCGCTGCGCCCACTTATCGGTTCCAAATCAACGTTCAAACTTGGAGCAGTAAACTGCTTGTGTGGGGGGGGGGGGGGGGAGGTCCACTTGTCATGTACATTGTTTGGGGAATGCAGGAACCAGTAGCATGGGCGACGTGAGCTCTTGGGGCATCGTGTGGAGAGGTGAGCAGCTCAAGACCAAGCACCCAACTTCTCCAGCCTCATATTCAATAGCAAGACATCAACCATCGAAACTGCAGAACCCTCAACCCATAAGTTTCCAAACTTGCTTCGTTCGCCTCGCTTGTTGCCGCTATTGAAACGGATCACGGAGGTGCCCTTGTTCTTCTCTCCTCCTCTTTGACTCCCTTCTTGTCTCCTGTTTTGGAGAAGAACCAGAGCCGGATTGGAGGGACGCGCCCTTTGCTTGTCATCCTCCTTGTCTCCCTTTCGGAACCGTCCCCGTCTGGTCTCCCCTTGTTGTCTGCCTTCCCGTCTCCTCTTTGGGCTGTGGGACGTGCACCCCTTGTTGAAAACAATTCCACGACGCCCCGCAAATCGTCTGCATTCTTGCAACACGATCTGGTTCTGATTAGACAAGAACGGGGTGCGTCCCACGATCCGGCTCTGGACGCAAGAAGGGAGATAAGGAGGGAGGAGACAAGAACAGGGGCGCTGTGCCCCGTGGCTTTGGTTCTAAAAAGGGGACCAAAATAGGGGGTGTACCAGGGACGGGCCCGACAGTCCGGATCTGCTCATGAAAGGTGGAGGGGCCTCGGTATACCCACTGCCTTGTGGAAGAAGGCTATCCTGAAACAATCCATAATCTCGGGGGTGTGGTGGGGATAGCCATATTTTCATTTTTTGGAAAATTAAACCCTAAACCCTACAAACCCAGCCACGCCCCTACACTAAACACTGGCATTTCGGGGCATGGCCCAAGTCATGTTCTTGGCGATGGTCTTCTGCATGTCCTTCGCAAACTTCAGGTGCTACTAGTGCTACTTTCACGTATGGGTTCAGGCTTCAGGGTTGCGGGGCTTCCCCACTTCCAGGCCAAGCCCTTGCACATCCCGCATGCACTACCTGCACCCCCCACCCCAACCAAGAGAGAAGCATGTATCGAAAGGGTGTTCAACAACAAAATCGCGGTGCCACGGGGGGTAGTGCCTGCTCTGCAGCAGATTAAGGGCTGCGTCGTAGGGTTTAAGGAATTAAGAGCCGCATCTCCTTGGGGTAAGATACCTGCGCCCCTGTGTTGAGAGGGTGTTATGCGACTGAAGCAATCGAAATCCTAGAGCCCAATCCACCTCGGAAGAACATCAGCCTGCATGCAGAAGTCGCTCGTCACCTAAGTTGACTATGTTTCTCAAACTGACATCCTATCACCGCAAAGCACACTCTCCGATAATGTCCTTGATGGCAGCAATCTCTTCCTCTACCATCTCAGGCAAGTCGGCTCGAGCCTCCGATTAGTTCAAAACCGCACGCTGAAAGTCATGCTCGGAGTCTCGGAGCTTGAGATGCAGCTTCTTGGGCCAAAAGGCACACTGGTCCGCATCTAAGATGCGCAGTCGGCCGCATAGGCATATTTAAGAAGAGCATAGGATTGCCCTGACTCTGTCCACCGAGGGCCTTAACTTGAACCGGTGAAAGCTTGGAGAAGTGGACTTTGAAGTTCCGAGCGCTAAAGAGGTGAAGTTACTGCGTTTGCGGGTGCGGGCCCTGAGATGCAGAGTGCATATCGAATGTCAGCATCGGTGCGATTCACGGAGCACTCTCTCTGTGTAGAAAGGCCCCGGCAGCACACACACGTCAAACCAACCGTGTCTCAATTCAGAGACCCCCGACACCCAAAACACCCCCAACACCCCGTCCTAGAATCCCATGTGTCTGTGAGTCTGTGTGTGTGTGTGTGTGTGTGTGTGTCTGTGTGTGTGTGTGTGTGTCTCTGTGTGTCTCTGTGTGTCTCTGTGTGTGTCTGTGTGTGTCTGTGTGTGTCTGTGTGGTGTGTGTGTGTGACTGTCTGTCTGTCTCTGTGTGTGTGTGTGTGTGTGTGTGTGTGTGTGTGTGTGTGTCTGTGTGTGTGTGTGTGTGTGTCTGTGTGTGTGTGTGTGTGTGTGTGTGTGTGTGTGTGTGTGTGTGTGTGTGTGTGTGTGTGCGCGGGTGTGCGTGCTCTTGTGTGCTTAAGGACGCACAAGAACACTTTTGAAACACCACAAAGGACACCGTCAGAACATCACCACGTCGCGCCACAGCCGTAAACCGTACAAATCCCAGGCCCCAGAACTACGCTCCGCTCCGCTGCAAGAAAAGCGCCTCCAGCTCCAGGGCACGCTCCTCCATGGGGCTAAGGCGGTCCTGAGCGGTCATAAGTGAAAGGCAATAAAGGGCTCTTCGGAGTCTGTAGGCTGTGCTTTAGCGCGGGCTCGAACATAAGAAACATGTGGCCGTGGACACTCACTCACTCGCTCACTCACTCCCGAAGTCCCATGTCACAGGTGGCACATTTGCATGCCACAGAACTGGGACAACTCCAGGGCTTCGCACTTTGAGGCTCTTGCCGACTCTGGAGGAAAGGAAAGACAGCATACACACCAATTCACACCCTGAGACCCTCCGAACCTAAAGCCCTGAACCAAACAGTTCGCCAAAAAGCCCTGGACCACCCGAATCGGTTGAGATCTTAGAGCCTAATGTTCATGAAGACCTGGGCGTTGCGTGAGAATGGCTCGAGGCCATAAGGCCTAACTAACCCCAAGATCATGAAGCACAAAGCATTGTTCTGCCTGGAGGTCTTTCAGCTTGCTCTCGAACTCGGCCTTTGATGCGCCGGCCTGGCGCCCGGCCCCTCACCCTCTGTAAAACCACGGAGTTTTGGATTGGAATGATTTCTTCTTGGTTTTTTGCAGGGGATTCAGGCACCCCACACCCAAACCCGAACAATCAAGACCAAGAATCCAACCACCCCAAACGCTGAACTCCTAACATATTTGAGTGGAGGGTGCGGCTTGAAGTCCGATCCCAAGACTTGCCTAGAGCAAGCGTATAGAATGTTGGCGCTTGCTGCTTGAAGTAGTCCTCACGACAAACTGCCACCTCAGGCACAGCATTGAATCGGTTGGGCCTTGGCAGCCTTGGCATTCACTGTATGTGAAAGAAGTCGTGGGTCATCCGGCAGCTGGGAGGGTGTCACCGCAGGCACCGTTGAGTCGGGCAGCATCCAGTCTCGGTGGACTTTTAGCAGGCCTTCCTTTTTGAGCTGGGTCGCAGTTCTCGGGAACGTTTGTCGCATCGCCTTCTCGGGAGCTCTTCGGATTGTCCTACCAGCATGTGCCCCAGCCTCGAGCTCTCCAGGATCAGCTAGTAAGACGTCGTCACCGTCAAGAAGTGAGGGACCGATGGTTTATATTTAGGGTTTAGGGTTTAGGGCCAGTCGGGCTACAAGTGACTTTAAACAGGTAAATGCCTGGCCTACTTGCTTCACATGCGCTGCGCACTCATCTCGAGGAAGTGGAGATGTGGTAGCTTTTCAGAGTTTGCGGAAGTACTTCCTCTTTGGATCTTGGGATTTTGGCCTTGGTGATGTTCTACTGCAGCCTGCACTGTCCAATACCCCTTTGCAGCAAAACCATACCCTTATGACCCTGAGCGCCAGCAGGATTCCAGGATATTATAAGACCGACTATGTCTGCACCACAGGGCTAGAGACGTAATCTTAAACCCACATTCCCGAAACCCTGAAAGCTGGTTTACAGGGCAGGTTGAGCAAAGCTGAGCACAGGAGCCCCTTGCTCCAAACTCCGGGACCCTAATCAATCGGCCTACTCAGCCCTACCCAGAAACCAAGGTAAAAAACCAAATCACGCCCCCACCACTTTCATGTTTCCCAAGCTTGCCCGTGCCTCGTGCATCCATTCCTCATAGTCCATACCTCGAAAGGCTCTCAAGCTTGACCAAATTGAGCAGCCGGACCAAATCCCACAAGCTAGTCCCTTGAATGCATACGTCATTTGACAAAGCCCTAGGAGAGACGAACTTGCAAGTCAGGGCTGGTTTGGCCGAGGTCGAAGACTCGAATCCGTTGAAGCATTCTTCGGCTGCTTGTGAGAAATGGTTGCGCTTGGCATCGCTGGGGCTTGAGTGTTCTGTGCAACTCCGAAGAGAATCGTTTCCGGCTGTGAACCTTGCAATGCGGGCCCGGCGCGTGCTGCCAGTCCGACAAAACTCAGAAAACCCACGCAGGCCCCAGTTTCCAACAGGATTGCGCACCTTTCAATCCACGCTGCACGTGCTTTTTGTCCAAATTGGAACAAAGCAAATTGATGCAATGACATGTCTCTGTTTGGAACAGCAACTACAACACAACTGACCACCTCAATCCAGGAAGGTTTTCTTCCATACGTTGGGTGTCCAATCCCTGGCAAATGTCAACATCCTGGAAAGGAACACGTCAGGGGCCTCCAAAAACAAGGAAACTGCGTCTTTCTCCGCTTGATGCAATGGTGCACGTGCTTCCTGGAAGCTAGGCCACCACACTTCTGAGCCGCTACGAGGGTATCATGCTGGGCGATCTGGGGGGGGGAGGGCATGGTGAATCCGATGCCATGCCGGGTCTTTCAAGCCTGGCAATGCGTGATTCACATGAGAGAAGCAATGACATCGAATCCACAAGAACCAGCCTTGATCAGACTTAGAAACAGGTTTCGGGGCGTTTGTAGACCCAGTGCCGGGGCAAGGTGCAGAGCTTGAGGATCTCGGATCGTTGCTCTTCTGTCGAGACCTGCCCACTTACATGGAGATCATCTCGGAAAGAATAACATGGTGGCCCGCCTTGAGGATGTCGTCCCTCTCCAGCTTGTCGCGACCTTGGCGTGCTCCCTGTTTGAATGTCGTGGGGTATAGAGTTTGGGAGTTGGAGCTTTTGGATTCTGAGTTGAAGCTGCTGGAACTTTTTCATCTGCGGCTTGCTACGGAATGTCCAGCTCTCAACCAGCTCTCAACATGTCATAGGAAACCTGTTCTCTTCCCATTTTGTCCTGTATCGCAATGCAATTGAAGATGTAAGGAAACGAGTGAAGTGAGCGGGCGCACGAACAAAGACAAAACAAAGAGAGCTGCGGCTGCTATTCGCCGCATAAAACTCTAAAAATAAGGCCCCCCAATCGGCAGAGGCCGTTTTCCAAAGGGGGAGAAAATTGACATGCCCAAAACTCACTTAAGCCTCCTCCGCTTTCAATGAACGTCCCCGAACCGCAAAGTGCAGTGAGTATACCTTGCGAATCCCGGAACTCCCGTGAGCCCGGCTAAGCTTGTCCAGACCACGAGGTCCTTTCCAATTCCTCAAAAGAGCCTTTACCAGAAAGTCCTTCAGTCCAGGACCCCCGCTGCCGTATATGTAGGCCTCAAGCTCGTTCCGAAGGCCCGCCAGGGCTGCAGCCTCTGACTCAAGTTTTCTGGCCAGTTTATGGCCTGTGGAGTAAGCTAAACTAAGTGCTCACAAGGCCTCGGTCTGAGATTCAGGAGCCGGGATGCTCAGAGGGCTCCGGCAGATGATGGAGCGAAACCGGCTTTATGGGCTCAGCAATCCCGACAACGCCGCACCAACGATCATGCGACAATCACTAGCGCGCAGGCTGCGAAAGCCGAGCAAACCTATAAATCCTGCCATATGCACTTGCGACCTTGGTTTCGCTGCACCCAGGCCTTCTGCAAAAGCATTGCGCGTCTCGAAAGGCAAAGCTGCAGGCTACTGTGCACCAAGTTTTAAGTTTCTGGAAGACTAAACAGCACAAAGCACCCAAGTAGCTTAAGGGCCCACAAACACGCGGTGCGCCTGCTCCTCCTTCTCTTTCAGCTCCAGCATGCGCTTCTGGAGCCTTTGTAGCTCAGGATCTTCTCCCGACGCGCAGCAAAATTGGACGTTCCAAGGCCCACATGTCATTTGAACATTTGAAGCGACGCGGTGAGGCCAGCAAGTGTGAGGCCAATATGCTACCAGAGGCCATTATTGGTTTGAGACATTTGTGTACGAGTATGCATCTGACAGCCAGTGCGCCAAAAAAAACTTCAGCTCCGTGCGATGCCCGTTTGCATTCTGCGGATTCTGCGGGGCCCCAGATGGCCCGAGCCCAGGAAGAGGAGGAAGAGGAGGAAAGGAAGGGAAGAGGAAGAGGAGAGGAAGAGGAGAGGAAGAGGAAGGGGAAGGGAAGGGGAAGGGGAGAAGACAAACCGGGCAAAATCTGCGCGGCCTGTTCACTCAAAGTCCGTGGTGCGCAGATCCGGGCAGGCTTTCTGTCCAACAGGCCGGACAAACCCTGAATCTGCACGCTTCTTTTTGCTCCTAAACCAGGAAGTCCAAGAGAGAGAGAAGAAATTCCCTCATCCTTCTGCGATACAGATGATCTCTCTCTCTCTCTCTCTGGGACTCTCTCGCGTGTTCTCTTTTCCTTCCAATTCTTGTTTGCGGGGTTTTCAGACAACAGTAGCTGAGCGAAACAAAAGAGTTTTTAGGGGAGCACCCAAGAAAATGCCTTCTCGCTCATGGAAAGGGGAAGTTGCTTAAGACCGCAAACCAGACAGAAGGCATCGCACCGTTTGTTTCCTCCTTCTACTCCTCCAAAAACACGTTTACCAGCAGTTGGACTTCATTCCGTGTCGCTGCAGGTTTGTATTCAGTGCTCCGTGTCAGTATGCACCCCACCCCCTAAACCCAAATCCTCACACAAACCGTATACCCTACACCCCAAAACCCCCCGGCCGGGAAACCCGAGGCCTAAAACCCTTGTCATAGCACCCCCCCCCCCCCCCCCCCGCCTCCACCCCCACTCCCCCTTACCTCCTCTTGCGGACGTCGAATCCCCACGCAGGCCAATGTTTTCGGCATGCGCCTCTCCCGACGCCATGGAAGAAGCAAGCAAACTAGCAAGACCCGCGCTGGGGAGAGGAGAGGAAACAAGAACACGGAGTTGCCTCATCCCTCTCGACCCCCTCTCCCTGTTCTTCGTCCTTCTGCTGTTGTCTTTTTCTCAGATATATGCACACAACACCATGTGTCTGCCTGGCTATGCCCCAATAGCTTGTTTCATATGGATGATTCCGATGTATCCATGAAAGACAATTCTGTGCAAGTTGGATATGCTTCACGCATGCATGCCAAACCCAATTCAACCTAAGGGTCCTTGTGCACAAAACCCCAAGACGAATCCTGCACATTGTCAGCACGCTGGGTGCCTACTGATTGTTGCTTGAAGACGGATAATATTATGGTATTATGGTTCGAGGTGTCTTCTCCAGCGATACTCCTTTGCTGCACACCGAAGGCATTTATCCGTGGAATTTCGTGATCCAAAAGTCCTGAAAGAGCCTCGAAGCATTGAACAAACATTCAGAGCCAGTTGAGTTTGAAGGTTGATTGAGCTGTGGGCTCTTCGATCTTCTCGGCTGTCAAAGGCTTCGGCTTGTAGTCAAACCTGGGCGCAGCTTTTAGGGCCTTGAACGCCAGAGACCCGACACCCTTAGGGAACTGAAGCCATAGCCGATTCATAGTTGCTCGGGGCACCAAGGCGGTTACCAGCCTTTTGTCAAGCCCTTCTTCTGTCGGATTCACTTGCAGCCTAACTGGGTGCAACATTGAGGCATTCTCATCTCCCGTACTCAGAGCTTCTGACAAGGAGCCTCTTAAGTGTGAGGGGCTTCTCATGCTTCTTCTTCTTCTGCTTCAAGACCACCTGTTGGAGGGCTTTATGGGCCCCGTGATTTGTGGAAACGTTCAGGCTCGTGGGTTGGCTTCCGGGGAGTGCGTGCTTTCGGGGTTTGTGGACTCTCAAAGACCAACAAGCAACAACCGCATCCAAAAGTTCAAGAGATTCCACCGGCAAACAGTCAAGGACGCGAGTTAGAGTTTAGCAGCGTGCTGTTGCAGCGCTCTGTACATTCTTGGATCATGCGGCGAGATGTGGATCTGCAGGCTCTCGGAAGCAATATATCATGAAATCGAAGCCGTTCCCCACATGCTGTTTTTGGTACAGAGTTCCTTACAAGGACAACTTCTGTTTCCTCTATATTTGTTAATTCTTCAATATATTACTATCATGAAGAAGCCTCTGTTGCATCTGTTTGCATGACCTCTATCTACAGTATATTGTTTCCATTTCCTCTGAAAGCCAATATATCTCTGCTTTTATAGGCAACCCTCTATTTCCCTTAAGTGTTCTAGGAAAGCCTCTCTATGTCCTCTATGTTTGAAAAGGAACCTCTTGGAAAGCATTCGTGCGTGTTGCTTACCCTCTTTTTCCCGCAAGCTTGCATTGCTAAGAAAATCCATTTAAAAAGCAGGTGGGTTTGGGAGCCATTTGTCAAACACAATGCTCGCATGGCAGGCCCGGACAGAATTCGTCTGTTTTCAAGCATGCGACCAACTGGCCCACACTCTCATGAACTCTGCACATGGGCCCAACGGGCCTGCTCGTCAAAAGACCATGCTCCAGAATGCGAGTGCTAGTGTCATGGATAAACCGTAAACCATAACCCCTAAACCCTAAACCCTAAGCCCTTAACCCCTAGCTGTAAGTTCCCGTCTCATTGTACTCGAAAGAAGCAAAGCTTTCACCGCACCCGAGTATCCTTCTTACAAAGCCTGTGCAAACCAGTGCCTGCGCTCCTCAATAATCCCCTGAACCCTGAACATTTGACCACAAAAACTGGGGGCGTTTGCAAAGACCTGTTCATTTGCGGGCCCCGGATCGAAAACCTAGCCAGAGGTATCTGTCACTGTGTTCCCACGGAAGGCACGTTGTTTGGGATGCTTCTTGCTTAGCAGGGTCGGAGCTGAAGGCATTCTCAAAACAAGTGCAGATCCCGAGATAGAACCTGAACGCTCAAACGTCTAATCTCCGTAGCCCAGAAAAGCCTGCAACATACAGGACACTATGGCATCAATAAGATACCCCTAGAACCCAGGGCGAATCCTGCACGACCCTGAACTTTGCAAGTCCCAACAAGTCCCATGCCCCAAGCCAAGTCCCGTCGTGGCGCCTCGGGTTCCTCCTCTGTCGCGTTGGCGGTCGTGTTTGCTTCCTGTCGGGCCTACTCCATGAAGTCGAACACCAGAGCTCAATCGATTGAACCACCAAATCTTAAAAAGCCACGGCCTTTTAAAATGGGCTTAAGCTGCTTTCATGCTGGAGCCTCTGCCTGAACCTGCTTGGCCTGCTTCTGAACCGCATGGCATTCCTGTCGGAAACCTCTTCTAAACGGTTCTCTTTCTGATGAGGCCTGGTGTGAGTGAACCTTTTCACTTCAGGCCACAAAAAAAGGGTTGGCAAGCATCCAGTTAGAGCTGTTGAGGGTCACGTAACGCACGCCCCTTAAGCATATGCTGTCCATGATTTACTGCGGTTTTTCCAGTTCCAAACCTGCTTGAAAAGGTAAGGCTTTAGATGTTTGAGGCCTTTCTTTCTGGGTTTGCCAGATTTTTGGACTAGGAGTATAGTCGGGTCGTAGTAGTCCGGATTGGGGATCAGGGCCGGCAGGAAAAGGGCGACTGAAGATGTGCTGTCGGGTCTAGGGCAGGCTTAGGGAGCTGGCAGCAAGGACTCCGGGTGAAAACTTCGTAACACTGCTTGGTAGGCTGCTAGGGAATCTGGGAAGCCATGCCCAAACAGGAAAACCACCCCCACATCCGAAGAGCATGCAGTTGAACTGCAGAGTTCCACGCCCGTTTAACATCCAAATGCAGCCTCGGCGGCCGCGGGCTCCTCGGAAGTCTGGTTCTCCGAGGCCTCCAGCACTTGGTGGATGCTGGGGGGGGAAGGAAGGAGGGGGGAAGGAGGGGTGCCGGGGAAGGGAGTGGGGGATTTGACATGTACAACATGTATCTTAAATTGGAGGCTCATGTTCGGGCTTAGGCTTAGGCAAGCCAGGGCTTGTGGCTCCTCAAGCATTCTGGGCTTCTGGGGGTTTGCGGGGGTGTGGAGCCCTTGGCCAGGTCTGTATGGTCTTACCCATTTGCAAGAAATGTTTTGTGTGCTTATTTGGCTTATCTTGCTCACAAAAACAGAACAAGTTTGGCAGAATCTTCCAGTGACACTCTCGCGAAGCCGTCAAGGCTGCAGGGGAGAGCAGCGTGCAGGGTTGCAGGTTAGGCCCGCGGACACGGGAGCAAACTTAGTCATACTCATTGGCTAGAAAGAGCCTCAGCAATGATCAAGTGCGTATGGAGCCCGAACTAGGAACATGGCTTCGTCCGCCGGGTTGAGGTGAGGCATTTCCTCATGTCTGCTGCATGTCCATGCTCCCCGGCGCTCGTGTCTCCTTTTGCACGCGCAGCGCAAGCAGTTGAGAACATCTAATCGATCTTCCTGGGCGGGCCCCAGCCCCAAATCCAAACACTACAGGCATTGCTTCTTGGCGGTAAGCTCTGAAGGTTCGTAACCTGCATTGAAATGGAAGAACAAGATCTGAAGTTGGCGTGACTTACTCATGTAGACTGCCACAACTACGAAGATATCATAGTAATAAAGCGATAGTCATTTGCACAGCCCATCTGGCCAATCTGTGCAAACAGAATCGCAAAAACACCATACCCTAAACCTTACTCTCGATTAACGCTCCCCCCAATTCTAAATTGAAAAGACAAAGATTCCAATCTTAGAACGCAGATCAGTTGCAGCGTTTGGAAAAAAACCACCCAGCAAACTCCGGGCTCTACGGTTGAGGGTTCTTTTTGTGTGAGCTCCTGAGCTCCGAATTTCGGATGGCCTTGCCCGCTGGTGTTAAGATTTGTCAGGCTCAGCAGGACAGGTTGAGCATCAGAATGCCCTGTTGGCTCTCTGATCTCCAACAGCTGTTCTGGCTCAGGGAACTTCCAAGGAAGCTTCGCAGGTCGCGAAGATTCGGCGCCTGCGCTTTAGGGCTTGCGGGCTCAGCTTGGAGAGTTCGAAGCCCCACCTACACAAGAAAAATGGATGCCCTCCCTCAGCCACACTAAATCATGAACTTCCCCTGCGTCGGAATGCTTCGGACGATGGAACCCGGCACGGGAAACTCTAGCCATATCTGGTGGGGATTGTGAGGCGAGTTTGATGAGGCAAGAGACCTGCCGAAGTCGAAGTCGAAGTGTAAGGGTTGAAAGTTCTGCGGGGCTCAGACCCAGGGACCAGCTGCAGCCTTCACTGGAAGAGCCACCGCCAAAGTCGGGCCCGGGACTCATGAAATTTGATTTTTGCAAATTGGGCAATCTTGTTGCTTTCTTGGTGGGCTCCAAGAGATACTAGTATGGACAGAGACTACATCGGAGATCATATAAGCTAAATGAAGTTCTGCTAAAAATAGTACATGAGATTCCGAGCTGTGGAACATCCTAGTATTTGTGTATTACCTCAAGCTTTCTGCTCTCAAGATGCCAAAATTTCCCGACTTTCCGTACTTCACGTCTCAGAATTCAATGCTGTAGCTGAGCCTGTGCCTGAACATGATCAGTCTCGAGTTCGGGGCTTTTGCGGCCCTTGCCTCAGCTTCCTCGGGTCAAGTGGCTGGCCTGCCAGAACAGAGAAATCAACGGCAAAAGGGGGTGCGGGGGTAGGCGGCTAGGCAACAGTACACCCTCTAGTAATCGGTTGCGTGCCCTCAACCCATCCGACGACAAAGAGCTTACGCCTTTGGGTTGAAGGACTGAGTGGTCCGAGGCTGTGAGTTCGACGGCCCTGCTTGGGGAGGCTCTGAGTCCAAGTACTACACAAGACAGCTCCCTCGCCACCTCCAGTTCTGTGAAGTCACTGAGGCCGCAGAATCCCTCCTCGTGGCTGCTGGCCACCAGGGAAGCCCGCCTGCTCGGGGAAAAAGGGGGGGGAAAAAAAAAACGCCCCGAACCGCAGATCGAAATTGCCAAAGCCATCCTGTCCTGAACGTTCTTCGTTTTTTTGAATTCGGGGCTGCGAGGTTGGAGAAGACTTTTTGAGCTCCCCCTTTTCGCGTTTCAGGGCAAGTGCTCAATCGGTAACGACCCTCAAGCCTGACCATAGTCACCAAGGCTACAAACTCTGGGTTAAAGTTCGTTGTTCTCCCGTGGATGCGCGCGAACCGTCCGCACAAACAGGTGACAGCATGGATAAGCCCCGAAAACCACTCAAAGCCCAAACTAAAACAACTCTTAAACCTCTTAAGCCGTCTTAAACCTCAGCGTTTCGACCAGGCCGGGCCCCTGGTCGAGCGAGGACGGGCGCCACACGAAGGGAAGATGAAGCCGGCCGCCTTGGAAAGTCAAACGTCGAACTTGAGAGCTCGGTATGTTCTGAAGCTGTGAAGCTCATATCGCATCTCTAACAAAGTTTTGAGGGCACCCTACTTTGCATCATGCTGCCTATGATCGACGCCTTTGCAGGGTGTCGCTGCACAGTTGAGGTTTTTGAGCTCTGGACTACAATGGGAGGCTGCGTCAGCGAATGACAAGCACTGCATGGGCAAGGACGCTCACATCTGCTGCAAGTCTCTGAGAAGCAGCTACACCATGCGCAACATGCACAACTGGCTTCAAGAATCAAGAAATAGCAGATCTCCTCAGCGACACTTTTTTTACAAGCTTTGCCCTCAGAAACAAACCTCCTAAACTCTTAACCCTACTCCAGCCCGACTTTAACTACCAAGGATACCAGGCGACAACTTGCTGCAAACTCCCAACGCAAACAGATACGACCAGGCAATAGTAGGCGATGGCGCAGTAGTAGCCCAGCCCAAGCATGGCCAGCAGCAGGCAAGTGAAGAAGCCCTCGGTCAAGCGTGATGGCGGTGCATCTTTGTCTAAGCCAAAAATTCAGCTTTGGTTGCACGGTTATGTCTCCGTTTCTCATCATGAACAAGCGTATACACTGCCCAGCAAAGTCCCACCCTAAGACGTCCGCCGTACAACATAGCGTACAACAACACATTCTACCCCAGGCGCTATGAGCTCCCAGGGCAAGGGTGCCGCTGGGCCCGGGCACTGAAGAAGGCCCTTCCTTGGGAGGCCAGGTACCAGCTTGCAGAAGGCTGAGAAAAACGACTTTCGGAAAAAATCTGGTCGACGGTGTTTCAAAGCTTTGTGCGTGCTCTGGGTCTTGGTGTCTGTGTGTCTGCGTGTCCGCGTGTCTGCGGACTTGCGTGTCTGCGTGCTTGCTCGCGTGCTTGCTTGCTCGCTTGTTTGTTTGGTTTTTGTTTGTGTCACTCACGGAACCTGGCGTACCACTTGTTTGTTGTTCGGGGGATTCGGGCTAGTGAAGGTGAGGCGATAAAGGTATGCTGCACAGGACACGGAACTATGCATGCCCCACCCCACCACCCCTCCAGGCGGGGCCGGCCGAAAACGGCTTCCGATTTAGGGCCTTTAGGCGCTCAATGAAGTGGTCAACAACATCTTCCTTGAGACGCCTAAACCCTGTACCGCCTATACCTTTGCATGAAGACCGCCCAACAACCTGGAGCACAAATGTCAACCCCTTCACGACCGAGCCTAACCTCACCCAACCCCCCAGCCCCCAATCCTAACTGTTGGTGCTTTGCTCGTGTTTAGGAGGTCAGCAGCGCTCGCAGGGAAACTTTTGCCGGCCGACCACTCGGCTGGATTTGTGTTTGGAAGCATTAGCATTGCGAAAGCTTCAACAAAATCCCCCATATCTTACGGCATTGCCCTCCGAGCCCCAAATCCCTCCAAGCCCAATGTTCCACCGAGGCACTCCTCTGCCTCGAGCTCCTGCAATGGCAGATTACTGGCAGCGATGGTAGATGCCTGCCTAGGTCCTGGGCCGTGACGGCAACGACTGCTTTGGCGCGAGGTTTGCGCGGCTTATGCTAAACTGCAAAACCCTTATAAGCCTTAAACCCTTACGCGTAGCAGCATTTCGAGGGTCCAGTCTGGACATGATCCGCAGGCGAGTCTCCAGCAGAGCCGGCTTGTACACAGTGCTCATGTCATCCTCGAACTGCCTGTGCTCCTCGGATCTGCACAGGTTCAAGGGCTCAAGGGCTCGAGGGAGAGCCCGGAGAGGCTCGAGGATTGAATTAGGCCCTAATTAGGCTTCGGGGCAGCCTTTCGCTTGCCTGTCAAAGCTGGAGACCCTAAACTCTGCTCAACTCTGAACCCTGAAACCTGCGCCAGCCCCCAAATGTCCTCATCCCCGAAGCACCCGAAAAAAATTGAAAGGCACAAGATAGAAAAAGGACCAGCATTTATCTCATGCAAGGATCTTGGCGATCACATTGGAGATGAAAATTTGGGGCCCCTCACCCGTGACCTGAGCCTTAACTTGTAAAGCCTTAACATGCCTAAGCATACGCACGTCCTCGGCAATGTGCGCCGGAAACTCCTGCAAGCCGAGCAGGCGTCCGCTCGATATGTTTCGAGGCTCAGGACTTACAGTAGTGTTTGAGGTTGCGGGTTCAGCTGGTTGACATAAAGCCCACAATGCCCTGAACCCCTGCACACCCAGCAGCCGCCCTCCGCAGGCTCACTGGAACGTAAGCCAGACGACAATCCGAAACATTCCGAAACCCCTACAGAAGCATGAAACTCATGGCAACCTGCAAGCAAGTGCCTCGGAGTCGTAAATGTACACGAAGCCCAGATCCCTGTTGTCTGGATCATTCCCTTGCGCCTCGGTCTCACTGACATAAATGAACCCCAAACCCCGAATTTGAGCGAAAGCGGCGCGAGGACTTGGGATTGCTCAGGGGCTCCTAAGGCGGGTAACCAAGCCTCTCCAATGTTTCAACTGAAATCTTTGCACGTTTGACTTGAGACTTTTGATGT